TTGGAGAATTTTGAGCATTACTTTGCTAGCGTGTGAGATGAGTGCAATTGTGTGGCAGTTTGAACATTCTTTGTCATTGCCTTTTTTGGGGATTGGAATGAAAACTGACATTTTCCAGTCCTGTGACCACTGCTGAGTTTCCAAATTTGCTGGCATATTGAATGCAGCACTTTCACAGCATCTTTTAGAATTTAAAATAGCTCAGCTGGAATTCCATCACCTCCACTAGCTTTGTTCGTAGTGATGCTTCCTAAGGCCCACTTGACTTCTCATTCCAGGGTTTCTGGCTCTAGGTCAGTGATCACACCATCTTGGTTAACTGGGTCATGAAAATATTTTTTGTGTATTGTTCTTCTTTCCTTAAGTACTGCTTTAAGAGCATCCAACAAATGTTGACATATTGTGTTGTTGTTTTTTTTTTTTCATTCAGTTCAAAATGCATTCTCACTTACTTTTGATTTCTTTGGCCAGTAGGTAATTTAAAAGTGTGTTATTTGCTTGTCAAATATTTTGCGAATTTTCAGAGATTGTTCTGTTGCTGATACAACTTAATTTTACTATGTAAGAGAATATACTTTCTTTGGCCTGAATTCTTTTAAATTTATTATAATTTGATCTATGGCTCAGAATATGCTCTATCTTGGTAAATGTTCCATGAGCACTTGTGAAGATTGCTGTGGTAGGGTGGAATGTTTTTTTAAAGGTGCATACTCAGTCACTTCAGTCGTGTCTGACTCTTTGCAACCCTATGGACTATAGCCTTTCAGGCTCCTCTGTCCATAGGACTTTCCAGGCAAGATTACTATAGTGGGTTGCCATGCCCTCCTCCAGAGAATCTTCCTGACCCAGGGATTGAACCCACAGTTTCTGCAGGTGGATTTTTTTAACTGCTGAGCCACCGGGGAAGTCTGGGTTTTTTAAGGGTATATTAGCCTAAATTGATGGATGGTTTCATAAAGGTTTTACATATCCTTATACACTGAAACTGCTTAGTATATTAATTATTCAGAGTAGTATACTGAAAACTCCAATTATAATTATGAATTTCTCTATTTCCCCTATTGCTTTGTTTTCTCCAGAAAACCATTTCTGTATTCTCAATTCAGCAAGTTCACTGGGTTCCAACTGGATCCCCTTTTTCTGTGATGTGGCCTAGACATTCAGGGTGTTAAATGGGGCAGTCACAGGACTTATCTTGTTTCCTATCTCCCAGAGTTCACTGATTTTTCTTCTCTGTCCATTTTTGACTAATTGTTTCATATATTTTGTTCAGTTTTTTTTTTTTCAGATAGGAATGTAAATCTAATCCCCATTGCTCCATTTCTGTTGCCACGAAGTTATATTTAAACCAGTCCCAGCAGAAAGCTTTCAAATACAGGCCTGTTTGAGCATGGCAATACTACCAAATAAAAAGTACTTTTAACATTCTAAGTCCTTTAATTTAATTTAGAGGTATTTCAATATTATGGACATATGGCCTAGTGACTGGGGGTTTAACAGAAAATAGTAGGCTTTACATATCAGGCAATGTGCTCACAAGAAGAAAATATGTATAACATTTTACTTTGTGGGCAGAAGTAAATGCATACTGAGGGGTTGTTGAAAATAAGTAGAGAATTGACATTATATAATATTTATCTTTTTATCTTAGTGCTTACTTAGCACATAGTAGAGCTCAATAAATGTTTGTTAAACTGAGCCAAATTGAATTACATCAAACATTAGATCAGGTTAAGAGTCATGGTGGACTTCACTTGAATATCGAAAGTAATAGACTTTAGAACTTACAGAAGTGATTGGGTATGAGTAAAAAACATGATATATGTACTGAATTTTAAAAAAAAGCAATTATGTCTGAAATGTTTGAGCCACCTAACCCCTCCAAAGTATATCAATATTCCTATTTTAAAGAGTAAGAAAGAAATATGTGACATTTACTCTCTCACGAGGTTTAGTTTCACTGAATTTATGCACACTGATGCTTTAAGAACTGGTTAAAGCTAACATTGATTAGAATTAGGAACAGGAAGCTACTGACATTTTATTCAAGAATAATAATTGTATTCAATAATTGTTACTTGACTCCAGTAACAATCATGAAAAAGTGAAAGTGTTAGTTGCTCAGTCATGTCTGACTTTTTGTGACCCCATGTACTATAGCCCACCAGGCTCCTCTGTCCATGGAATTCTCCAGGCAAGATTGCTGGAGTGGATAGCCATTCCCTTCTCCGAGGGATCTTCCTAACTCAGGGATACAAGCCAGGTCTCTTGCATTGCAAGTGGATTCTTTACCATCTGAGCCTTGGGGTCATGTTTTCTCTTTTTTTTTCCTTGAAAAAACTAGTAATGATCTTTCCCACTCTGAGCCTTTATTCTAGGTCTTCTTCTTTAGGAATGCCCCCTACCTATCTCTGCAAGTCCAAATTATACCTTAACTTTAACCTCTAGCCAAGTGCTAAGTCTTCTATGAAGTTGCCCTAATTTTCCTAGTTGATGTAATTTTTCTTTTTCATTGTTTTATAAATAGTTTATACCAGCTTTTTTATGACACTTACCCTTTTTTAACTTGTCTTTTTTGTTATGTGTGCCCATGCGTCATCCTTTCAATTAAACTCTAAGCTCCTTAAAAACAAAATCAACATCTGATATATCCATTTGCCCATACATAATACAGTGAAAAAATGTAGCTCATGGGAGATGCTTGATATGCTTCTTGGATCAATAAATGAATGAATGCATGATTTCAAGAGTGTTTTTCATGTAGAGTTTCTACATGCAGACTGTGAATTCTCTACCCTTTGGCCAAAGAGTAAGGAAAGAAGAATCTTTTAAAAGATGCTGCTTAAATGAAAAACACAAGAAGGAATCTGATGAACAGTAAGTAGAAGAAGTCCAAGGCAGGACAGAAGACCCAGAGGCTGAGGTCTGGAGTAATGATGAATATTTGTTCAAGGTATTCTGAAAGGATATTTTGGAGGATAACTTAGAAAACAACTTTTATTTTCCTGTTGTTTGATCGGAAATACAAATACCAGCTAGTGGAGGAACACTTTCTGGGAGTTGCAGGCTGGCTGGTCGACAATGCACGAGGAGGAAGCATGTGGCTGGGGCAGATGGGAGAGTGTAAGGGTACCAGTCAAGCAGAGGAGGGCCTGTGGGTGTGAGCGGAACAGGAGAACACCATGAATGGGGAAAAGAGAAGTTGCTTGAATTGAATCTGAAAAACAAATTGTCTAATGGCAGTAGCCTTATGGTGTGTACTCATGAAATATTAAGGAAAAACAACCTCCTTGCAAATTAGCCCAGGTAGAGATTTTGAAAGATCAATTCTACCTGCAATTCCTTCAGTTCAAAATTGAAAAATAAATGAGATGAGAGGCACACTTTGCCTTTGAGACTCTCACACAGCAAGGTCATTAGTATGAACTCACCCACCATCACCAGGGTACAAATGCAGAAAATCTAGGTAACCCAAATCATGCAGCTCTTCTAAAAATAATACAGCAAAAATCCTTCATTTATGTTACCACACTGTTTTCTACAATTTGTACCTTGTTTTACACTCCTTGGATTTTCTAGGTCAATTAAAAGCACAAGTTACTCATCATGCTATGTATTGCCCTCAGCTTACCCCTTACTCCTAAAAATACATGAATCGATAACCCCATTGTTGGCTGTGTAATTAGTCCTGAGAACATAAATTCCTTTGGAGCTTCAAAGTGCTTAGTACCTTACAAGGTGCTTTATCCCTTGCCTCAATGATCCCACAGCCTAAGGGCTAGTGGAGCCTCATCTTACCTTGTGGGCTCCTGTCTGAAGGGAAGGGACTTTCAAAATACGTTGCTATATTCTGTTGTTCAGTTTTTACTTAGGCTCAACTTACACCTTTTGTTGGGCTTCCCAGGTGGTTCAATGGTAAAGAACCTTCCTGCCAATGCAGGAAGGAGATGCAGATTCGATCCCTGGGTCAGGAAGATCCCCTGGAGAAAAGAATGGCTACCCACTCCAGTATTGTTGCCTGGAAAATCCCATGGAGAGAGGGTCCAGGGGGGTGTCACAAAAAGTTGGACACAACTGAATGATTGAGCCTGCCTGCATGCCTTTTTGCTAAAGTGTGCAAGCAACTTCTTTTGAATTAACATATTCCAGTGATGTGTAGCCCACTCTCAGGCCCCTGGAATATTTGAAGGTTCACTTTTCCTGGCATTATTTATATAAATTCTACCTAGAAGAACTAAATGTGCCTTTTACCTAACATATGAAACAATAGAAAGGTCTTCTAAAATCTCTTGGATTTTAAGATAAATTATTGACTCCTGTTGTCCTCAAAGATTTTCTAGCTAGCTTTTAGAAATAACCCTAGATAAATAACTGCAGTTAATGAAGGCAGTAATACCCTATAGATGAAAAATATATCACATCTAGATCATAGCTAAACTGAGAGAATAATTGGACATATTAAATGACACTGTGAGAAGGCAAATATTTCACACAGAGCAGACAAGTGTAGACACCTGCCTCTGTGTGTGTGTGTGTGTGTGTGTGTGTGTGTGTGTGTGTGTGTAACCCACTCCCTTCAATTTTACTACTTTTCACAAGCTATTCAAATTCTACCTCCGGGGCCTGCCACCCAAATCTTCTGGTGGAAATATTTTTTTTTACATTTCTCTCCCTCCTACTTCCTTCCCCCCACACACTTATGGTATGTGCAGTTTCGCCAGATCCGTGTAAAGACAGGGCAACACTGATGGGATTGCTTTTCACAAGTGTGGGAACGAAAATCCTTCCCAATGAAAACATCTGTCTCTGTTCAAGTCATGCCCAGTTATCCCCCAAAAGAAATGTTCTGATTAACTTTTTTTTTTAAGTCTTAAGATAGCAGTTTGTGTAGCAGATCTAATTAAGAAGTTTATGTAACAGATCTGCAGGGTTTTTTTTTTTTTTCCTTCCTTCTTCAACTGGGTTCTTTGAGCTCAGTTTGAGTGTTACTAGCTTTCGCCATGCAGCGGCCAAGTGCTTCTCGGGCTGAAAATTACCAGCTTCTGTGGGATACTATTGCTTCTTTAAAACAATGTGAACAAGCTATGCAACATGCGTTTATTCCGGTAAGGGGCATTCCTTTTATTTTCCTAGAGACTCTTTCACTTTTCTGCTATTTCTTCCTTTATAGCTATAGGTAAAATGTATATATTCTATGCATTTAAAGATGTGGTATCTTCTCTGTAGTTTTTGTTTGAGAAAAATATGTCTGTTTTTGCTCTGTGTGAAATCTGAATTATTAAAGGGTTAAATATTGATCGGTGAGAAAGAGTAAAAGGTGGTCCAGGGAAACTTACCCCACTGAAGATAGTGGTTTCTAACAGTAACAAGTAGTAGAGAAAGGGCACAGGATTGATATTCTTCACATTAACATTTGAAACAGCACACTGTGTGTATTTCCTGGCTGGTTCCCCCAAAAGCACTTAGAATGGCTTGAATATCTTTTGCAGTGGGTTTGATACTTAAATCAGGAAGCCAAAAGTTAGTTTTATATTCTGATTCTTTGCTTAGCCAAGTAAAATCTACCATAAAGCCTCTCCCTGAAAAGTGTGTTTGTTCCTTTAGGAAAGTAGTGATGCTCTACTTAGAGATTTGTAAAAATGGTTTAGAAATTTGTATTTTGAAAGTGCATAGATACATTAGGTGAGTTAATGAGTGAGTCAGTGTCATCGTGTTTTCCACTGCAGATACAATGTTTGTGCTTATAATGATCAAACCAGAAGAACAGGCTGGCTACATTTGATAGGCTGAGGTGGGATGAATGGGACCTGCAAGAAGAATATGAAAATATGTGATTCTTTAAGTAGATCTTTTTTTGAAGGATTGAGATAATCTATTAAAAATAAGAGAACATTCTTAAAAATTAAGACCTGCAAACAGTTATTTGGAATTCCTTAAGAAAAACATTATCTATGACATAGAGAGAGTTGGATTCAATCTTCTTTGAAATTCAAGTTGTTTTCAACTGACTCAAGTTAGATTTCATTATGTTTTTCTCGGTAACTGAGGAATCACCTGTTTCAAAGATTTAAAGTTCTTCTCATTGAATACTATTTTCTGGTTGGATCTCTGTAAGTTTATCTTAATTTTCAAGGACATAAAACATAGTTTTTGCAAGGGTTTAAACCATTCTTGGTGGGAAGCTTTCTAAATCAGACTAAGTCATAATTATTCAACTTTGAACTGGAATCTGCTGTGTAAAGTTTGCTTCTCCTATCTTTATTAAACTCTTCCTCCTTTGTTTTATCATGAAGGTTATGATACCCCTGATGAAGCGCAGGTATCTCCTCCTTTGTAGAGCTTTCTCTGGCTAAGACAGAGCTATTTTCTCCTTTCTCAATTCCTTGAGATCTCAGGCACCTCCGATCTATCACCCAAATTACTTAATTGTATTTTCTTTTCTGTCTCTCTAATTATATTGCAACTTCTTGGAGTTGAGGAGAAAAGAAAAATAGGTTTGAAAAAGGAAGTGATATTTGTTGGGGTTTTGTTTTCTTTTGTTTTCATGTATCAAACTCCTTGAATATAGGCTGTATCTATTCCTAGGGTCTACCATAGTGCTTGGCACAACAGAGCGCTTGGTGAGCATGGGCGGAATGAATGAAATCAACTGAGTGTCTCCAATTCCATCATTTCAATTTACTACAGGGCAGTTTTCATCACCAGCTTTGTCTATACTGACTTCATAAAATCATTTCTATTCAAATCCATCTGGAGATAACTATAAACCTGGACTAAAGTACTGCAGTGGCTGTGATGGTGGGAGTGGTAATGTGTTAGTGCAGAAGATAGACCTTTCTGGGGAAAAATAGACTTGGTTTCAGTTAGTATAGTCCATGGGCTACTCTTCTTCCATTCTTGTGTCTGGGTCCCCATATTGCAGGCATTTACATAGACATATTCAAATTTTATTCATATTTTCTTCATTTTGACTGTTCTAAATCTTTTTCCAAAGATATTAGGAATTTGTCAGTCTCTCGACTCTTCTCAGATTGCTTCCAAGTCTTGCATTAAATGTATCATTATGTCATCATGATTTTATGAGGACTACTTTTAGAAAACATAGCCATTATTAAAATATTACTACCAGTTGAAAATAATTCTGTTTAAACTGAACCTCAATTTATTTAATTTTAGAATATATAATTTAGGTCTCAGGAAAGAGCTTCATTTATTCCATATTTTATGTACTTTTTAAACCCAGTGATGTGTATTTCATACACACACACACACACACACACACACACACACACACACACACACATTTACCCACATATACATAACCGAGTATGTGACATTCTTGGCTAATGATACCCTTCATTTTTTTTTTTAGAATATCCAGATATATTCTTAAACTACACATCTTCACAATGATGCATTAAGCATATTAAGGGAATTAAAAACTATATTGACATAATTATCTTCTTTAAAATAGATTTGTTGCCTTTTAAAATAAAACACTAAGAGGTGAATGATGTTTAGGAAGTATAGACATACTTTGATGTAGCTGATCTTAGAAACACTGACCTGAAATCTTCACAGGCTGTCTGTGCATCTCCTGTAAATGTGGATTACTAACACAGCATTAGAATACGGGCCACCTGGCTCATCTGGATCATCTCTGACACTCACAATAAGCTATAGATCACAAGCAGTTTTTCAGTCAGGGCAGTTGTGTACTAATAATAAACCTGCCATAAAATCTTAAGTTATAATAATCTTCCCAAGAGAACCTCCATGTGCAGCCTAAAATACACACTGGAGCGAGGAAACATGGGATGAAGACCTGAAAGTGCGCTTCAGCTTGTCTGTCCCACCACTACTTTGGCAGAGAGAGCCTTACCCTTTGCCCACCTGGTGCTTGACTGTCTTTTGCTGAAATGTACAAAATTGGTTTTCCTTGTGCTGCTGGCCACCATGTTTGGTTTTGGTCTAATGTGAAGGTCATGTAGCTTGCCAAGCACTGGTTGAAATACTAAAATGATTAAATCAACAGAACCCCTGATGATACTTATATGGAATTCTGCCCACCAGGAATTTTCAAATGGACCTTGTTGAGTGCCTTAAGTACCCATGAATTGCCCTAAGAATTAAGGGGTGCCAAGCTTCATGGATCTCAGCTGGGTTATACAGATCAAACAGAATTTGATGATGATAGAAGAGGGCATTCCAAGTAGAAAGGAACAGTAAAGATATTTACTAATTGTGTAAACATGGTTCATCTTCCATCTGATCTTCCATTCAAGCAGTATTTACCAGATACATTTTATGTATCAGAAATTATGTAATATGCCAGGGCAGATAGCAAAAAATAGCACAAGCTCAAGCCCTACTTTGAGGGCATTTAGATTCAAGTGAATGAGACAAACATTAAATGAACAATTAATACATATCTGCACCACACACTTGAATACTATCCTGTGAGAGTTGTTCACAGTATTTGTCACAATTGTAATTTAATATTGCTCATATGCAGTTACATATACAGATATATGTAATATACATCTATTATCAAAATAGTATAGCAATTATAGATATTTTGCAAAGCCATTACAAACTAAACAAATAAATCATTCTTTGCCAAATATTTTGTAGTCTTAAAATGCATATTAATTTCTTTAGCAAACAATTAGTACATCCTGTCTGACCTCTGACACATCCCAGACTTGGTACTTTAGTATAAAAGTGATATTATATGCTGAGCACCTATTGTGTGTCTCATACTGTTCTAAGTCCTTCACATATATTTCATTCAATTCTGTCAACAACTCTCTGATGTGGGCGCTGTCATTTCCACTTTACAAAATTTACAGAGGTTAAGTAAGTTCCTCATGATCACACAGCTAATAAATGGAAAGGCCGGGCCTTGAAACTAGTTAATCTGGCTTCAGAGCCCATTTTTTTAATAGGTTCACTAGAATAAGGAGAAAACCACTGAAACCAAAACAAGTGCAGCATAGCATGTGGAAAGCAGCAATCTAGGGATATACAAACCACAGTAAATGCAGCAAGGTGGACGTGACCCATCTGCTTGAGTGGAGAGGAAAGATGACCAAGGAAGAATAAAAAGAGGAGAGAGGTCTTGAGATGGTTTTAAAATAGTGGTTTATCAGGTGAAGGGAATGAGTGAGGTGGCCACATAGGTGCAGAGACGCTGAGGCGTGAGAGAATAGTATGGAGTGAGGTGTAGTCATCAGTTTTCTTCAGGTTCTCATGTTCCTCTTTGAGCTTCAGAAGGAATGTCAGGAAGAACAGAGATGAGAGACGGGTCATTTATTTAAGGTAAGAATCCTATAGGTCAATCAGAAAATGAAGAATGGAATAGTTATGGAGCCACAAAGTGACGGTCCATCTTTCAAGACAGCTCACATTTCCTTCCGTGAGACTTGCCTCAGACAATGTAACCAGATGATACACCTTCTCCCTCATTATTTCAACCCTGATTAGCACTCCTTGAAGAAACATAAGAGTAGAAACCTACATCCATATGGCTTTAATCTACGTTTCTCGTTTCATCATCACAATACCAACAGCAAGTGGCCCTAATATTATTATCTCCATTTTAGAGGATCAGTACCTTGTTCAAAGATCATATAGATGCTATGACCATGAAAGAAAGCAGGCCTTCAAATCCTCGCTCCATCTGCCTTTCCCCTTCACCCCCATTGTGGTTCTTTGCCTGTATCTCTTGTGCTGTTTCTCTGTTTTATATTATAAGCCTTTGAAGGATTTCTCTTGTTTTCATATGGTGCAGTAAACTCTTTGCAGAGCAAACCATGTGTTTCCTTGGGAGGTAAACCTGAAAGGGAGCGGGAATATGTGTACATACAGGGCTTCCCTGGTGGCTCGGTAGGCAAAGAATCCACCTTCCATGCAGGAGACTGGGTTCAATTCCTGGGTCTAGAAAATATAGGAAGGTCCCCTGAAGGAAATGGCAGTCCATTCCCATATTCTTGCCTGGGAAATCCCATGGACAGAGGAGCATGGTGAGCTACAGTTCATGGGGTCACAAGAGTCAAACATGACTTAGTGACTAAACCACAACCATGGCTGATTCATTTTGTTG